ACAATAAAAATTAGTGGCCAGGAAAAAATGCAAATAAAAAGACATACTAAAAATTAAGTACATTCGTAATGTTTAGTTTTGGCAAGGGTTTGAGGAAAGGGTTCTTTCATGGACTTTTGGTGGGAGTGTAAATTGGTGCAATGACTTTGGAGAGGAATTTTGCTTTATTTTTCAGAATTTTAAACGTGCATTCCATTTGACTTACAAATTCTCATTCTAGGAGTGTATCCTAGAGAAATATTTATGTAAGTATGAGAGGATATACATGTTAGGATATTCATGGAAGCATTGCTTGTTAGAGAATTTTTCTTTAAGTTTTCTTCTCCAAGAATTTGCTGTTTCTTCCAGAAACAGCCTCTCCAGTTATTTATTTTGGGTCTTCTCTTTTATACGATAAGCTAAAAAAAAGTCTAGTGATCCTTGGTTATCCATTCATGTTATTTTCAGTTCTCCATTGATACTGAAGGCAAAAGCAAGGTGAAGGCCGCCTGAGAACCCTGTACACATTGTCAGAACCCGTAAACAGGCCATGCTCTACAGAGTGAGAGAATGGGGTACCATCCATAGTTCTCCTATAGAGTGAGAAAACGGGTTATCAGTCAACAAGCTGCTTCTTTCTCCAATTCCATAATGAATATGGAAGTCTTGGAGCAACCTTTCTACTCCTCACCCTAGTTCCCTTCAGTTTTTGGATGGGGAAGTGGTGCCCACGTTCTGAATATGTGTGGGGTACCTGTGTCATAGACAGATTTTTTTCCTTCCACCTCAGCCTCCAAGTAGCTGGAACTATAGGCACATGCCACCACGCCCAGCTAATTTTTTCATTTATTGTAGAGGTGAGGTCTCACCAAGTTGCCCAGGCTGGTCTCAAACCCCTGGACTCAGACAATCCTCTTGCCTTGGTCTCCCAAAGTTTTGGGATTACAGGTGTGAGCCACCATTCCTGGCCTAGACAGGCTTTTTCACTTATTCTCTCATTTTCAGCCCCATTCTCCCTTTCTACCCTCCCTCTAACCTGCTGTCCCCCAGGCTAAGATGCTTCTGGGGCTCTGTCTTACAGGCTTGCCTCTCCTCATCTTAAACATTTCTTAAAATCATTTGTCCAGCGCCCACCTCCAGTCTTCTTGGTGACTGGACTTTATGTCTTTCCAAAAAAAATCCCCTTTGTGTCATTTTGATACAATCCTGGGAGGAAGGAAAGAAAAACTCATGTGTTCAGTCTGCCATCTTGGACCAAAAATCTAAAGTATGACTTGTAATATTAGAAAACTGGAGATAATCTAGGCATCCTTTAACAGGAAAGTACCTAAATAATGTTCCATCTGTGATATGAAATAGTCTGCATTCAGAAAATGAGTTAGCTTTATATACATAGATATAAAAAGATCCCCATGATAGAATATTAAAATAATACTGAGTGATCTCTCACAGAAACAAAGAGTTGAGTATCACATGTTCTTACTAATAAGTGGACCTTGAGCAACTACTGTATTATTGTAGGAAAGGGATTGAAAGTAGTAGAAAACTGCGGGGAGGGTGGTGGGTAGCTGGGTTGACAGTAGTCAATATCTACCTAGGGAAAGGGGGGCACGTCTCATCAATAAGGGTACCTGTATAATGTACACCTCACCAATAAGGGTACCTGCACAATGAATTGCATCCCACAATTTCAAAATAAAAATTAAAAGAGGAAAAAATCAAAATGCATAAAATATGCAAAAAACAATAAATAAAATAAAGAAGCAAATTGCAGAAAAGTGCATATAGTAATATCAATTTTAGAAAATATGTATTCATTTGCACTTACATGAAGGAATAACGTGTGCACACTAAACTGTTAAAAGTGGTTATTAGCTGGGCTCAGTGGCTTAGCCTGTAATCTCAGCGCTTTGGGAGACTGAGATGAGTGGACTGCCTGAGCCCGCGGGTTCGTGACCCGCCTGGGCAACTTGGTGAGACCTCATCTCTACAATAAATCAAAAAAAAAAAAAAAGTGGTTATTTACCTTCAAGTGTTCTTTACATCTGAAGGCAGTGGCTCAAATGTGGGATAGGCAAAAAGGGGAAATTGTATCTTTTTGTTCTATTTTGCCTGCATTACTTGAATTTTTAAAAATTAACATAAAATATTACTTGGAATTAATTGTCATATAAATGTAAGACATTTTTCCTATATAGAAAGCTGCTCCATGAATAAATTAAGGTTTGCAAATTAGAGGCAATCTATGATACGCCTTGATTTTTAAAATGCTGACCATTATTATTGTTTAGAACTTTTATGAGAACATACTTAAAAGTAAATGTATTGCCAGTTTATTTTTGAAAGCCTACAGTTCTTTAAAAATTCCTTCCAAGTCTAAAACTCTATGACAGTATAACATGTTGGCAGGTAGTACATGTCTTGTATAATCAACTTTTGCTTGGTATGCTTTTATGTCTGATTTCTTAACTGTTGCATAATGACATTAGTAAACTGAACCAACTAAACTACGCCAAACTTTGATATTCCAGCTAAAATAATTTTACAACATTTTGTTATTACGAAAGAGGCAAGTAATATAAAATGTCAATCATTTTAATAAAATTAGATTGAGCTTTTTTCCCCAAATAGCCAAGTTAGAATAATTCATACAAAAGAAGAATTCATAGCTTACAACAGATATAGGCTTTTCATGTCAAAAAAAAAAGACCCAGGACTCTGGAACCTACTAAACAGTCTCTATTTGGCAGCACATAAACAAATACAAAACCCAGAAATGTGGAGCTCAACTCTGCAGAGTTTCATTAGTTTCCAACCTAAAATGAAACGAATAAACATTTTATCTCTTGAACTATGGGCACCATTCAATGTCACGGTTTCTCCAGCTTCGCTCAGAGCAAACAGTAGGCATCGTGGTAAGTTGGCCTCTTCCTACAGTTCTGCATGAGCCCATCTTCCTAGGAGTTAGGGCAGGGCAAGTGCCAGACTAGGGCCTTCAGAATCTGTCTAGCAAGCCAGGTCTTGATGGTTAAACTAAATTAAGCCATAAACTCACAGGGTTGAAGTTTAAGACACTACCACTATTGGCCAAGGTTTCTGGCATATATATCTCCTTCTTCTATTTAGTTTTTTAATTGGATTTCAATTTTCCTATCTTAGTTCTATAACTGCATCTTTGTGAGTGACTCCAAATCCTTTTTTGAAAAAAGCTAAGTAAACAATGTACAGTTTTAAAAGTCAGAAGACCATGTATGTGAAAATGTTAGTTCAAAATAGCTGGACAATCTCAAGCAATCCCACATGTAACTTTTAAGATATCTGGACTCCACAGAGCAAGAGATTCAGTTTTCTATTTTGATTGGGTTTGTCTCAGTCTCATCTGCCATCCCTTCCTCCTCCAGTCAATAAAGCCAAGTGAAGTTAGTTTTGACTGCATTTGTCTGGATAGGGAAGGAAGAGCTGCAGACTGTGGTGTTCCTGGGTCCAGAGTTATCTTTCAGGGTGATCCTCATCTTTGGAAGTTGCAAAGTTAATGGTCTTTCATCTGCTACATAGACAATGGTGCGTCTGAGGAATGCAGGCCCTGAGACTGTTCATGGGCATTATCCTTTGATGGACTACCATGCCTGGAGTTAGACTGCCTGGGTTCAAATCCTAGCTCCACATTTTGATAGCTGTGTGACCTTGGCAAGTTACATAATCACCCTGCTCCTGCTTCTTTATAAAATGGGGAGGAGAACAGCTCTTATGCCCTCCTGCTGTTGAGAGGGTTCAAATATTGAATGCATGGAAAGCACTAAGAATAGTGGCTGAGTTCCAACCAAAAACCACTTGTACTCCTAAAGCTAGTGAAATAAAAAAAAAAAAAAAAAACCCAACCCTCAAGAATAGTACTGGGCACATAGTTTGAGCTAGATATGTGCCTGTTAATAAATAATTAAAATATAAAACATGAATACTGCTGTTCATTAAATGACTTTAAGAAATATCTCCCTTATTTTGCTAACTAATTTGTACATGCTTACATGAACTCAAATCTGGTAAAAACTAATTCATATGACCAGTTTGCTTTGGATGGAATGTATATAGTTCAGAAACCCAGAAGAAAGCATCAACAAAGATCTCCTTTTGTAGGAAAATGGGTTAAAAATGGCCTCTCAATGTTGATGACATTGTCTGCAATGACTGCTGAGGTGTCTACATCTGTTCAGAAGTCAAGTGAACCCCACTAATGTCGAGCTCTGTTGCCTCATATGCAGATGAGGAGAAAGAAGAGAAAAGTGGCTTTTGCTTTAGACCTCTGGAAAGTGAAGGTGCAGACAGGATCATCAACTGCCTCTGGTCACTCTCATTCCGACAAGACAAGAACCTGCAGGCCTCCTGGTTTTGCAAAGAGCCTTGTGGATCTCACAGTAACAGTTTGGTCTGTTATCCATTTCATAACCATGTTTCTTTTAGAAGGAGCAAAGGCTGGTTTAAATGTGCAGACAGCTGGGCGCAGTGGCTCAAGCCTGTAATCCCAGCACTTTGGGAGGCAGAGGTGAGAGAATTGCCTGAGCCCAGAGGTTTGAGACCAGTCTGGGCAACTTGGTGAGCCCTCATCTCTACAATAAATCAAAAAATTAGCTGGGCATGGTAGTGCACACCTGTAGTTCCAGCGACTTGGAAGGCTGAGGTGGAAGGATAGCCTGAGGCCAGTAAGGCTGAGGCTGTGGTGGCCATGAGCATACCAGTGCACTCCAGCCTGGGTGACAGAGTGAGACTCCAACTAAAAAAAAAAAAAAAGAAAAAAGTGCAGACCTTAAACATTTACTTGTGTGAAGGACTTTTTTTTAAAAAAAGTCTCTCCACCCAAGCTGCCCATTTCAAGGGGCAGAGCAGGTGGTACTTTGGCATTCCCCAGTGGCACTTTTTACAAGCCCAGGACCTCAGGACACTGCTGGTGCCCATTTCACAATCCTGGATGGAATACATCAACTGGCAGTGACAAATGGCATCTTCTGGAGAAAGGTCAAACTTACCCAAATAGTTGTTGCTCTTGTACATTTCGGTAATGTTGATTTTGGTGGCCCCTTGGGGGATCTCCACGACACGGTGGTAGCCCAGGCTGGTGAGGGCATGCTTAAACACGCCTGACACGACTTGACAGCCTGTGTTGTCACCTCCGCACACACCACATTTGTCCACGACTTTGTCGGAGCCTAGGTAGTCATCACAGCCAATGCTCTGTAAAGAGGCAGAAAACAAAAGATTCTTGTAGCATGTATCAGAAGCATGCACGGGGGGCAGGGGGGTGTATAGGACAGAAGATCTACTGGGGGGACTCGAAATGACCTTCTCCCTGCTCCCTGCTTCTGCAGATGAGTGAATTCACACTTCCCCTCAGATATTCAGAGCACCTTCTCTCAGCGAGATACTTCTTTTCTAGCTATTATGAAACATGCATCCTAGGAGTAGGGGCAGGGCACAGACAGGAAACAAGACACGTGGTGATAAAGAATCAAGAGAAAGATAACACAGAGAAAAAGAACAGGGAGGAGAACAGGACAACAGGCTAGAAAGGTATTTACACGGGCTGGACCGTGAAGCTGATCTGCAAATCCCCACTGGACTCTGGAAGGAGAGAAGATGGTCCATCCTGGGATTTCCCCATGAAGAATCTCTTTGGAACCATGACAAGTACCACACCTAAAATTGGGGTTTGCCCCCAAGTCTTCTTATAGATGCTACACTTAGCAAAGTACCCCCCAAAAGTAGTGTACCCTGGCCCAGTTTCTTGGGAAACGAAATAAAATGGAGAGCTGAGACTCCATTGGTAACTGTGACTCCAGAGAGCAGAGCAGCTGGACTTTTGCTTGGTTGCCCCAGAGCACTTTTCCTGGAGCAGAAGGAGGAAGGGAAGCAAGAGCCAGAAACATCAACAAACCAGACAAGAAGCTTCTGAATCATGGAGTGTCTTTGGATAGCCAGAGTCCTCTGTATTTAAAGGAACTCTGACACTCCTGAATTCCTTTCCCCCAATCTTCCCATTACTCATTCTAAGATCTTTCTGCTTTATCTTCCTCATCCCATTCTTGTTTCTGTGAGTCCACTCTATTTTGCATAAAAAATGTAAACATTGGAACAAAATGGAATGATCTTCATGGGATCTTTTTCCCACTTTTGGGGCTTTTCACTTCTGATTTCACAGGGCTTGTGATCACGTTTCCTAAATCCAAAACTGGGACACATGTTCAGAACAAAGCACTCTGTTACACTTCCATGGGCAGATGGAAATAAACAGATTGAAGTTTAGACAATGAAGTATTGGGATTATAGTATTATTCACTGCTCTATGAGGATATGGAAAGATACTTGAAATCAAAATGGTATTCTCAAACTTGAGACACATGCTCACTGAATCACAGGCTTGTCCTGGTTCTTGAATTCTAAGAGCAATCGTGAGACTACATCTCGGGGAAAAGTGGTCAGCGCATTACTCAGAGTCCATTTCTGATTTTACTGCACAATCCTGGGTCTGTTCATGTGTGTCCTCCAGGTAAAATCCTACAGGCAGAGTCCAATCAGAAAGTGTTCATTCTTTCCCCTCCAACTTCCTGCCTGATGGACATCTCTCTGCCGGCTCTGCACTTCTCATTATTGCTTCCATATTCCCGAGTGCACATGGGCCCATCAATAATAACTGGTCTTTCTTCACAAACAGCATCTCTGTAAAACATTATTTCTGACAACAGAACATCAACTCAATATGTTCACCCACATCCAATTAGCCTTTCCAAATGCCATGTTCGTGGTGTATTTTCTCCTCCCTTAAATATTTCTTGCCCTTATCCTATGCACATTTTAGCAGAAAAACAAGGAAAATGTTTTCTGTGCACGATTTCCTTATCCTCACCCCCTTGAGCTCTCCCTTGCTTTGAAACAAAGAAATGCCACCATCAACAGGGCTTTTGGAACATAGAGGCCATGTTTTTAAGGCAAGATTCTAACTGAATTAAGTCGATGCCTCTGACTGTCACCAGTGGGGAAGATGGACACAGAGATGGTCATTGCCAAACTTTGCCCTTTCTAGTGACATCTCGCCCTCTTCCCCTTCCCAACTTCCAACCCCGGGACTCAACTTGTCCCAAACTGAGCTCATGCTCATAGGGATCTACCAGTCAAAGGGAGTAGTGTGAAACCAAGAAAAAACACAGCACATTCACAGAATGACAAGACTGACGTGTAGGATTGCTGAGGGGGATGGAACGAGGCTGGAGAATTCAGCTGAATTTGTCAAGGATCCTGTTTGCCAGGGTGAAGAATTTGAATTTTATCCTATGGCATTGGCAACTCCCAGGTTTCTGAAGAAAGGGATGGCAGTGCTCAGACTTGTTTTCCAGGTGATAACTTTGGCTGCAATGTGGAGTGGGCCCCACCTAGAGTGGGGGTCAACAGACTGTCTAGGGAGGCTCTCGTAACTAGGGTGTAAGGAATATTTCAAGAATGAAAATGAAAGTGAATCACCGAAGACAGGACAGACACCACATCAATCCTCAGCCCCAGCCCCATTAGCCAGGGACTATCATGAAAGGGAAATTATACAAACATGGATCGCTTTGGACAACCATGGACTCAGACTAAATGTTATTTGATCTTGTGAATCAGACATTATGCTAAAATGCTCTGTGCAATTTGACGGAGCCCCTCCCAGATTTCCTACACAGCATGGCCACTCTGGATGGATCTAGACACAGGGAGGAAAGTCCCATAGATGTCCAACCAACCTGGGGTTGGCTTCAGGGAAGTGTGTGGTTGCATAAATGATGCTAAACCTAAAGGTGACATCCTGTCTTCTCAGAGTCCATCAACAGCTTCCTCGGGAGCTATTGGGAGCACCTTTCTAGTGTTCTGGTGGCTACCCAGGCCTCTGAGAGATTGAGTTGCCATGGGGTTACCAAATACCATAACTCCACTTCACAAAGCAGGAGGGATAGTCCCTGAATGAGAACCAGTCAGGCAACATGTATTCAAGACCTTTATTTTTAGCTCTGAGGCTATAGACAAATGACAGACATGACAGCTGTCCCTACTTCCTGCTATGAGGATCAGATGATATAAAAAGGGGCAATCTGGATTGTGTGCCTAGGAGGGCATGGCTAAGGAATGGTTTTTGAACTAGAATCTGATGACAAGAAGGGCCAGCCATGACAAGACGGAAACACGGAAACACCGTCACTGACATTGTTGAGTAACTACATCAGGCAGGTTGTCTGGGCAATCCCAAGCAGAATGAGACACAGGTTCTGCCTTTGTGAGTCTGAGTATAACAGGGGTGTTTGGGTAGACACACAGATCACAAACTATCAGGCAACGAGGAATCTCTACATTTCTATGTTATGTTGGGACAGGATCCAATCACCTTGAGAAAGTCGATAATTAACAAGTGAGCGCAAAAGGTCTGGAGCATGTGGCAATATCCCAGCCTGAACTAGGGGAACGGGGATGGAGTGAAGAGGATTTGAGAAATGTGTAGGGTACAAAATGAACAGACCTCGGTGACAGTCTTCGTCCTCCTCCTCCCCTGCCTCCTCCACATCATCGTGTCTAACATGTACAGAGTCTTTCCTACAGTTTAGGTGTTCTGAATGTATGTTTTTCTCATTTAATCTTAAAAGCCATCTGTGAGATTGCTGAGCTCTGTAGAAGACTAAGACTTAGGAGAGAGGTTAGGCAACTTGCCTAAGGTCATGATGCTAGTAAGCGGCAGAGCTGAGATTTGGATCCAGGTCCCAAACCAAAAGGCATGTTTTTAACCATTGTGCAAAAATTGGAGGTCAAAGGCTCAGAGGTCATGCTAAAGGCTCTAGCTTTGTGGAAAGAGTGGATGGTGGCAGTGACCTGGGTGCAGAGGAACAAGTTCAAAGCCTGTTTATCACAGAGGACAGGAGAGAGCCTGGTCCAGAGGGGACTGGCATGCTCCTCTTCCAGTATTATGAAGACCCAACCATGCTATGCACCTCTCCTTCACTGGCTGTTTTTTTTTTTTAATTGTGGGGTACAATTCAGGGTTAGATATACAAATATTCATTGTTCAGGTACGCTTGTGGATGAGGTGTTCCCCCCCTTCCCCAGGCAGATATGGACTACTGTCAGTCCCACCTCCTCACCCTCCAACTCCCCCCTGCAGTTTCCTGCTACTGTCAATCCTTGATAGTAGTTGTTCAAGGTCCACTTATGAGTGAGAACATGTGATACTCAGCTCTTTGTTTCTGTGAGAGATTACTCAGAGAATTATAGTATTATAAACTCTAATTCCATCCAGGTTGCTGCAAAGTTCATTATTTTGTTCTTCTTTTGGGCTGCATAATATTCCATTGTGTATATGTACCACACTTTTAAAATCCAGTCCTCTTTTGATGGGCAGCACAGTTGGTTCCATATTCTTGCTATTGTGAACAACGCTGCAACAAACATACACATGCAGGTATCTTTTTCATAGAGTGATTTGTGTTCTTCCGGGTATATTCCCAGTAGGGGGATTGCAGGGTAATATGGAAGGTCGATTTTTAGAACTTTAGGAATTGTCACACTGATTCCCACAAAGGCTGTACTAGTTTACACTCCCACCAACAGTGTAGAAGTGTTCCCTTTTCACCATATCCTCCCCACACTGGCTGTTTTAACATCGTACTTTACAGCATAGTCCGTAAACACTTATGCCTAGACACTACCTTCTTATTGTTATAATGTTTTATTTGGAAATTGTTTATGACTCACAAGAAGTTGTAAGCACAGTAGAGAGAACTTCGGTAACCTTTCATCCAACTTTCCCTAAAGATAATATCTCACATAACTGTAGCACACTGCCAAAACCTTGTATACCATTAAAAGGCTGAGTGTGGTGGCTCACGCCTATAATCCCAACACTTTGGGAGGTCAAGGTGGGAAAACCGCTAAACCTAGGAGTTTGAGACCAACTTGGGCAACATAGTGAGACCTCATTTCTATAAAAAATACCAAAAACAAGAAACAAAAAACCCAACTGGTCATGGTGGTACATGCCTGTAGTCCCAGCTACTTGGGAGGCTGAGGCGGAAGGATAGCCTGAGCTCAGGAGGCCGAGGCTGCAGTAGCTGTGATTGCACCACTGCACTTCAACCTGGGTGACAGAATGAGACCCTGACTCAAAACGACACCACCACCACCACCACCACCAAAAAACTCCACATGTATACCATTGACAT